TCTTTTTACTTTTTTGGAATTGCACACATATAAATAACAAAATGGCGAGGATTGTCTGCCAAAATAAATACTTAATACTTGTTTATGATACGTACCTTATGTTTTTAAATCATATTTAATTTCACTTTAAATTTAACACTTAAATAACATTCCCGACCATAGTCTCAATTGCTCTATTGGCCGAAGATAGACCAATATGGTTCTGATACAGCTAGTTGAATATTGTATTCTGTAGTCTACCAAAAGCCAAGTCAGTGGTCTTGTTTCGACAAGAAAGTGTACCAAAAAGTAATAAGAAATTACACAAGTTTAAGCTTCAGAATAAGTAATGCTACATCGTCACGATTCAACCTCATTTTAACCGAGAGTTGGCGACGTAAATCGTTTTTTGTTAATTCAGAAGTACAAGTTCTTTGTGCACATCGAAGCAAATACAGGTGCATTTGAACTGCCAAATGTAATGATTCATCGAGTTCATTCACACTGTGAAACTATAATTTTAAAATAATTGTTATTTTCAGTCGTACCTACGTACCTACTGCACTCTTCAATTTATGTAACAACTAGCACAATGGCGTATACCGAACAAAAGGAGAACAACTATGACACTTATGCTAATGTGGAAGCGAATTATCTTCATCTTCGAAGTAAAACTCGCTGTTAGAAATTACTACAACATTACGTGTTGATTTATATCTAGAAAATATTTATCTAATGTACATATTTAAATTTATTAATATCTACAAAAAACTTCAAGCTCATAATAGCTACTAGCCACACTGAATAGACATTTAAAAATAAGAACACTTTGAAAATAGAATGCAAATGCATTTTGAGTTCTGTTCACTCGTTCTGACACGTTCCGTCTCCACGGCAATGGGAAGCACTAATAGCTCGTTGAATTTGACTGACGACTCGCCACAAATTGCCTTCCGCTCTTGGCGGAACGCAAAATTGTTTGTTCCATATTTGAAGTGGAATCGGTCGTGATTTCATCACATCCCTTTAAATGCAGTACTCGCTTATCGTTTATATTACAATCGCTTCAAATAATCAAATATTTGGTGGTAAAGGGATTACCAAGCGGCTGGCAAGAGAATTTTGTAGTCGAAATTCAATTGTATTGCTTCGTAGGCAAACGACAAAAAAATAAAAATGTATGTAAGTAGATAACTTCTATTCAACTTGCTACAAGGGTCTATGCATATCGGTTTTTTTCGATTATATTACTCAGTCCTACTGATCGATAAAATTCATAGCATGGAATGAAAAAATATCAGATCTGAACAAAAATTTTGCAAGGTTATTGACTTGTCTAAATTAGCGAGATTACACCCAAGACACATCCAAGTTCACGGAGCCAGTGACATTTAGAACGCTATTTCGGCGCGAGCGGCTGCGCTTTGTCGTATCTATTCTGATTTATGGAACATTTACGACAAGTGCAGTGATAAAACTTAGCCCTTTTGTGTTTTACTCCTTCCTTGACAAGAAAGACAGATAATTGAGGATGGACACTTCGAATAAATGTGGTGGTAATAGAAACAACATGTCTGACAGTCGTAACTGATGTGTTCATTATGTCAATGTTTTCAGTAATACTCAACATTCAGAAAATGTATTTTAATAACAATTTATTATATTTACAATATATGTTACGTTCACAAAGTAATGTAGTTTATATATAACTGATGGTTGTATCTAACTAAATCATTCGTTTTGGTGTCATCAACGGCCTTTAATAGTCCACTGCTGGACATAAGCCTCTCCTTAGAAACGAGGTTTTGGCCTACTATACCACGCTGGCCAGACGGGTTGGTATAGAGTTTGTGTCAAGTTTTCCTTCTCTCTGCAGTGCTGTTGTCCTGCGTAGTTTTTTCCCTTAGTCGGCTCTTACGACACCCACGGGATGAATAGGGGTGGTGACACTCTGTATTCTTTCGTTTTCGTTTTGGTGTATTTGCAACAAATATTACTAACTCACAAAAACAGATGATGGTTAGTCTTGCAAAATCAGCGTCCGTAACAATTGCAAAAGAACTTTTTGCTAATAAAGTTAGCGCTGCAAATTGCCAAATGTTACAATGTTATAAAATTGAAAGGACTGTTTAAATCCACATTTTTTTTATAACTTGAAAGAAGGAGAAGGACTTAGAAGATCTTTTAAAAGCTCTATGTAGCTATTTCGCCGTATATTTTAATTAGTTTTTCCCAAGTTAACTCTTCGCTAATTTGAGTGATATAAATCGCATGTTTTTCAAATAAAAAGAAAGGAAAAGCTGGAAACCCAAACAACATAGCAAGAGTTTCATTTTAAAATATCCATATAATTTTCCTTGCCTATTTTGTACTTATTACGTTATACTAGTTAGGTTCTGTTAGAGCTTATAGCAAACTCTTATCCGCTAAATAAACACTTATAAGGCATGGTTAATCGTAGCTACTAATTTTACCATATTGCCTGTAATTGCTATTAATACCTACAAGTACCGGAGTCAAGTTTATCACTGTATTTTATATCTAAGAAATGTATGTATGTATGTATGTAATATTTAAATTAGACCTCTTTTTATATATCTTATTATGTATTTTTTTTAACATGTATTTAGCTATACACATGTAAACAACATACGCTAACGACTTCTAATTCATAGTGTAATTGTGCTAGGATAGGTTAGGGATAGATTTAAATATGAGTCGTTAGTGTATTTGTTGAAATTGTAAAAGAAAAAAAAATACGAAAGCCATCCTCCTCACTGTGAATCTTTTGAAGGTACTTGATATTATAGCATATTTAAAATTTTGGCTTAAATATCGCCACATACAAGTAAATAAAGCAAACTAAAATCAGTTCACTTTACGACCACAGACTAATAAAATTGTTCGTCTACGGTCATTCATAAAGGAATTAATTAGTTCGCATCGCATAATATGCGATAGATATAAAATTAGCGATTTCCGGCGCGGGAACAAGATCGTCATCATGTTATAAATGTTTCCTTTCTCACAAAAGTGACGTCCCCTTTGATGACTGTTGCATAATATTGATATTTATAGTTCCTTTAGTAAATAATATTACGTCTATATATTTATAAGTATTTTATATGTTAACTGTATACAATAAAGATATAAATAAATAAATAAAGTAATATTACTCTTGTGTAATAATTTAAGTATCACTGATATCATGATATGAATTTTAAATTATAATATTGTAGTACAAGAATATGCCTAGCGGAGTCGATACACTACAAGTCATTGTATAATCATAATACGCAACAACTTTTGAATAAACCAATTATTTTCTGAATATTGGCACAGTATTGCTTGATCTTATGACTCTTAAACAGCCGATAAGAGCATAATAATTCCTTTGAAATAGCCATTCTCAGTCATTATATTATTGAAACACAACCAATAGACTCAAGGTCTACAAAAACCAAAGACAGTTTGAACGATCACACAAAAATACACACTTTAAAATTTGTTTATGTTTTTTCAGTTCATCTTGTAGTAACATATCAACAGTCTAGTGAGCTAATGCTTTTATGTGATTAGATGTAACTGTGTATAAATTTAATGTATCCGATTATACCCTGATAAATCGCATTTTAGTTTTACTAAAAATAACCATACACACAAAAAATTTAAATTAAAATTTAAATCTACTTAATCAAATCCTTCTCCCGACATCTTTTACGACATCTTTCAAGCTGTACGTATATTTATAACCGGTCTAATACATATTCAGACGCTCTAAATAGATTATACGCATACCTATGTCTAATGACAATGAATGACTCTTATTATACGTTCGAAAATAGATAAAAAAATTGATACGGAACGACTAATTAAAGAGTTTTCGTTTTTAAATAACTCAGTTCATCCGTGGTCATTTCCGTGATTATGGTGCTTGCAACAGTATCGAAATATCGTAAATAAATTCTTGAAAATAAACATGGTGAATCACGCATTTCTAATAACCTATCAAAATATTAATTAAATCTTCTGTAGGACTATTCTTTTTAAATTAATACCAGTGATTTGAGTCAGGAATTTCAATCATTTTTTATTATTAAAAAACTAAACACTCGGAAGCTATAATTTATATAGAAGATATATACCTATAATCAATATAATATATCACCTGGCAATCAACCAGTACTATTGCGGTACACATTAACCCACTGACAGATAATCTGACACGGAATAGCCCGACCTCAATACTACGAGTAGATGCGCAGACGCATCCTATGCACGTAATGACGTAAACAACGTGTATTTTTAACGGTACTCACGTGTACATGTTTATTGTAATACGTGCACTTCACAATGTGAATTTAACTTGCTCTAATTTTACCTATGAGAAGAAAGGAGAAAAGTGATCTGGATTTTCTCTTCGAGAGCAGCTGCTTTATTACAATTTTGATGTAGTTGAGCTTCAGCTTTATTTTAAACACGCCATCTTTTAATGTTCAAATTCTTTGATCTGTAGTTTTAGTGTCAGGAATTTGCTTGTCAATCATAGCTAACAGAAAAACATCATATTAAGCAACGGCAGCTGTTCTTATAACAGTGACAAACAAAAAGTTGTATTTAATATTCTTCTTTTATAAATAAATAACCTCAGAAAAACCTATTTTTTATGGCTTGAAATTATTTTTTTTAATTTGATTTATCTTTTAATTAACAGCAATTACAAGTAGAACCAGATTTATACGACTCCATACGCTATTAATGATTTTAAGTGTACGAGTATAATCATTTACCACATTTTTATGAGCAAGGCAAAACGAAAAAAGGCTCAATTACTCCAACAACAAAGATTTATCAGATTGAAGGCATAGCCGGTTTTTGCTTACAGTATATTTGCCTGACTGGTAAAATACCTCCGCTCTACATAACTGCTTAAAGACTAGTCCTCAAACCCCTAAATTCCAATTCCCAGTCTTAGGAAGTGCAACACAAACATAAAATGAATACTCTGTTTGTTTCAACAGCCGTATCAGCAAGATGGTCGGCACTACGTGCAGCGGCGACCAGACGTGGTGGTGCACGACGTTTGCGCAGAGAAATAACAGCATTGAGAGAAACCCTAGACGATATCTGCGAGCCCGGAGACTGTGCTCCACAACCGCACACCAGAGCTCAATTACACAGAAGGATTGAAGAATTAAAGGTAATTTAACCGACATTTCATTAGGCAGTTCATTTTGACCTAAGTTATCACTGTTATCAGCTAATATTAGAGATGCCGATCAATCAATCAATAGAAGATTTATGTTTTGGGGTCTTTGTCATACAGAAACTCTCTACTTACTGTACAGAGACGTTAAGGGTATCCACGGTACATGGCTAGTGTGCTTTTCTGCGTCTTAATTTGATTGGTTTCCGATCCGATTCCTTGGCGATAGATAGTCAAGCTGCATTGACTTTTGTACACCATAATGCGACGACTTCCTTAACTTGATGTAATTAGACGTAGGCATAATGATGATAAGTGTAGTGGGAGATGTAGGGGATGCCGGTTCTTTTACATACGCATGCAATGATTTAACATTATTATTCCAGGATCGCCTGTCTCGTCTTCTAGAATGCAAAGTCTCGATGCTAAAACTGACTGTATCTGTGCGTCGTGTTTTGGGTGACACAGAGAACGATGACGGAGGGCTGTCGAAAGAATTGACTGCATTGCAATCTGCATGGGATGATGCACATCAAAAGTAAGTGGGCACCATTTGGTTTTAAATGAATGTGTTTTTTTCACGTGGACATTTTTTCGCCATCTATGTCGTGTTATCGTTTCGTAAAGCTCTTCTACAATTTATTAAAAATGTCTAGGACATCAAACGAACTGCTCTCTTTGGAAAAGGCAGTTTGCGCGTGGACAGAATGGGAGAGTGCACTACGCGAGCTCCAGGGTGCTTTAAGAGGAGACCTAGCAACATTGGAAGCGCTAAGGGACCGTGGAACAGCAATTGGTGACCAAAACGAAGTGACTACTCAAATAAGACAGTTGGCTGCATCGTTGGTCGAAAAGAAGAAGGTGAGTAAACACACAAAAACCTATTTTTAATATGCTCTAAAATAAGATAAACGTTTTTGGGATATGTAAAGATTAGATATTCCGATTTACTTAATTTCTAGGTTTCATGGTGATAATATCTTTACTCGTATCTCTAGAATAAAATTACTTACCCTGACTGATTGAATCATCAACGCAGAGACTAAAAACCACTGGGACTACAAACTTGAAATATTTTGGCAGCTGCTGCTTTTTATGTTGTAAGCATCCACTAAGAAAGGATTTTTGGAAATTTCTTACCCCCTTGTGTGTGTTCTCTTATTTTACCCCCTTGTGGGTACAAGGGGGTAAAATAAGAGATGAACGGTTGTATAGGAGGATTTTCAAAGTTAGAAACATAAAATAAGAATAAATCACTCGAGTAAAACGGCAAGCAATAGCTAGTATTATGAAAAGTGATAAAGCAAAAATGTGTTGTGCCAGTAAGTGTTATATTATGACGAAAGAGCAGCCAGCAGCTTCTAAACGGCTAAAATTTATAATTTCATTCAAAACTTTTCCCGATTTCGATCGTTTCCAAGAACCGATCAACGTACAGCAATGCGCAAGTAACTCTTGTTCTTTTTCCAGGGTAGTTCAACCTGCGACTCACTGTCGGACTCGGGTATCTCTGACGGAGACAGCGAGGGAGCGGGCCGGCGCGCGCGGCGCCTCGGCGCGCTGCGGGAGCTCGCGCGACGGCTGCAGGCGGCGCTTGCGCCCAACTCGCCTGCGCAGAGAGCTATCGCAAAGGTTTGTTAGTTACAACAAACTATACAGGACTACTTGTTTAATAGTATCTGTTATATTAAAAGCTATCATTTTTATTTCAGCGCATGGAGCAGACAGAAAATGAAGTACGCACGCTCCAGGAATCCTGTCGCGCTTTAGTAGAACAAAGCATTCCAGATCTAAAAATTGATGAGGAAACGTAAGTACAAAGCTATTATTTTACATTTCTTTATTTTTATTACCTTATAAAAAAAACAACCATCAAATTATGTTTCGCTTAACAAAAACCACTGGGGTTTGTACATTATTAAAATTTCAGTCAGTTGTACTGTTGTACCTACAACAACTAAACAATAATGTACTTAGGTATTAGTTACTTAAAAAGTTTTGTAATTTATGTTTGATGTTGCTATTTATGATTCGTCTCAAATAGTCCTACTTCGAAATGTTTGAATGAGCTTTCTTATTGCAGCAGAGAGAATGGCATAACAACTATAGCTGGTAACAAAACTGGTGCTGGAGGACCCTGACTACAGCCCGCGCGGAGGTTGGCTGTGGCGAGTCCTGCGCTCGTCGCTACCAATCCAACTTTGTCTGGTGGCTTTACTCCTCGCTGCATGGCTGGTCGAGCGTCCCAGGTGCTGTGACGCCCTGAACTCTCTGGCCCAAACCTTGACTCCTCAACTACGCTACGTAAGAGGACCTCCCCCAGTCTGAACATGGACTAAAACCATTTAGTACTATGGTGATATCTACCTTCGAACACACCTATGTGTTCGATTTTTAAATGTGAATAACCATAATGTATATTCACATGCCATGAAACAAGTAGCTATTGGCAATGACCCGATACTGGACTTTTTGTACTAGCACACCTGTGCTTTTTACCACGAATGTGAGTGTTAGAGAAAGACAGTAGGCAGCAGACTAGGCATTTAGCCAGTATTGCGTGAAGCAATAATTTTTATTATTTTACTAACATTTAGACGTTGGGTAGAAGAGGTTTTCGATTGAGGTTGTTACTAACCAGACTGCCTATGGAAAAAAACTTACGTATAGGCATTTACCGAATAGTAACCATTATAAGCGTTAGTTTTTATTAAATTATAATGAATAATAAGAACTGAGCTGAGACAGAGTTATAGGAAATAACACTGTTTAGAAAGAGTGGGAAAATATTTGAATCCGATTGCTATTAGACATCCTTAATTGCTCATTAAGAATAAAAAAAAATGTTCAAATAAAATAAAAGTGTTCCAAAAAAAATCATCTGTATCAGATGACATTCAAACTAGTTAGTCTAGTTTATTTTTTAATATTAATACACTAACAACTGACAAACATTTCTTAAGTTTGTACGTAGAATAGAAGCATGCCTATTTTAGTACAATTATTTGATAGGTTACTTAAAATAGGTGAGAATGCGCTGTGTGACAGATATTCTACAATATACCTTAACATTATATATAAACTTTACCTTCTTCGTATCTTCTTGTACCTATTCAGATTACCCTAGCAAGTATGAAAAACCACATTACATACTTAACTCTTGCAAGTGGTCTCGGAAAACGAAACTAAAAATAGAAACAAATTGTGTATAGTTGATACTGAAAGGTATAGACAATTTTTTAACTCAATTTAGCGTATCTCTAAATCTATTTCCATGACTTAATAGTTGTGAAAAAACCTGAAGAAAAATTTAAAGACTGAATACTAGTGCTTCAATAAAATAAAAGTATGCACTAAACATACTTATGATCTAAACATATCCATTATTCATAACATCGTTTTATATTAAAACTACACATAAGCTCAAACCCAATATTTACTGTACGCGTATGAATTCAGTACACCCTGGTCCTTATTATATGTTAAGCGCAACAGTCTTGTTCCAAACAGTAAAATTCTTTATTTTTTGTTACGGACTATCTCGCGTGTAGACTGAACGCAGAGATTCCAATGTCAAGTTACACATTAACAAATAATGAAAATGAAAAACAAGTATTGCAACAATTTTAAAAATCTATATTTAAATATCATATTATGGAGGGCAGAGGTAATCAGAACCGACTCTGTGTATGAAAAGTGTCCGTCAAAAGGCGTTAAATTGTGGGCGCTACAGTAGCATCAGGATAAATTTAAAGAAAGCGCCAAAAGTTGTTAGAATAGGATAGAAAAATAAACATTGTGTTGAATTTCTTTGGCTTAAATAATGATTAGACACTGTGTACTAGACTGAGAAAACAGTCAATGAGTTCTACAGACAATAAATAAACTTTCAGACAATAAAAGTATTTTAAACTTAGCATATTTCACTTCGTCTATAACAGCTGTGTTCGTGTCATTTCCGTTGGCTACACAAGCGATATTCTGATTAGTTTTTAGAACTATTTTTTACTGTTTATAGTGGTTTATAGCTTGACATTTTTATACACCCCCAAATATGAGTCCGTTCTTTTCACCTGTACCCTCCATTATAAATATGGTAGTGTTGCCAATAAATATCATAATTAATGTCAAATACACGAAATAATTTCATTAGTATAACAATATTTCAGATTTCCTTTCTAAATATGAATTACTATACCATTGAATTAATATGTGCCTGATTAAATGTATAATCATTGTTATCAATTGATTAATTATGTGTGTATTTATTTTACTGTGTCGTATTTATTTTGTGAATTGATTATATGTTTTTGTTGATATATTTATAATTGTGTAACGTCAATTAAATATTTAGACGTTATTTTTTTCCATTTAGATGCATTAGCGTTATTAAGGTCTTAACATACCTCTTTTATATAATATATATTTATTTGTGTCTATAGTCCTATTTATCATGTATCAAAAGTTTAAATGTACAAACACTGTGCGACCCTGCGCGTCTTGCTTGTTATGTTATATTAATTGCATTTATCTTGAATAGTGATTAAATTACATAATTTTAAAACAATACTTTAACAAGATAAAGGTGATACACAAGGCGTCTCACAAGGTTTGCTTGTATTGCAGAATATGAGCATGTAATATTTTATGAAATTGCTTAATATTTGTTCATAATTGTCAATAGAAAAATACTTAAAGTTATAAATCAACACACACAGAGACGCCTTCTTCAAGACCTACATACATGAAGTGCGGTTGACCTTACAATAAACCTACCGCTCTGGTCTTGCGTTTGTTTGCGTAAAAGGTAAGCTTCCAGCTTTTGAGATATTTAACTTAAAATTAAACTACCATACCCATCGGATTAAAATATTCGGTTAAACACACTAAGCTACAATGTTGTTAATAAGTATCATTATTTTAGAAATAGTTAACAGTATTTCTATTCGTATGTGACATAATGACATTTAAAAATAATTGCTTTCGATTTATGATGAGTGATGTCCTTGTAGGACTATTGTAATTGCAGTTTGTGCAACTGTCTTGAATGGCGCATTGTCACGAGTGTATAATTAGTTTAAAATAAAGTACTAGACTCTCCCTGTGGTTTGTTTGCAACTTTTTTATAGTTTTTATTATCCTGCCAAAGTTTGTAGGATTACTAAATTTTATTAAGAATACTATTTGAATTTAAAAACCACAGCGAAAGTTCTGCAACATTATATAATTTCTCTAATAAGACCTGCCTAATAAGGCAGTGCCTTTGGTAGTGTGTCATATTTCTTTTAATTTTTATATTTTAGTAATAAACTAGATAATTGAAAGAAAATAGACATGCTATGACAATGCATTTAATTTTTCTTTCTTAGCAAGGACTTGAGACCGTAATAATTAATCGGTTGCATATTGGTATGTTGGCTTTTGGAATGGAAATAAAAAATTGAATTTTAAATTTGTTTTTTTTTAATAATAGTTACTGAAATCTGACAGTAATTATCATCAGAATCGTATATACCTATAGACCTATAGACCAACCCATAAGTATTTTTTATTTAGGTCCGATAGGACTTGACTGTTTACAGGATATAGTATAGACAAGTCAAAATTAATGCCATAAACTTTTGTATATTTCCTGACTACACCCCCTGAGTAAAGATAAAAAAAAGGAAAGTATAAAAATAATTTACGTTACCAAAAATGACAATTCTATTATTCGGTTATCTCTGAAATAATTACTAACAGTTGCAGATTTTTCAGAGATATAATATCTATCATAGCCACAGCATTTTAAAATTTATATGGCATCAGTGGTTTATAAAACATCGTATTTCAAGTGAGGGAAAAAGTAAACTTAACTTTTTTACTTGCAACACCTAGATATCCGGTTGAGGATTTCTCACCCCATTCAAGTCTTCACAAAAATATCGTTTACTATGCTTACACACTTGTTCTATGCAAGTGACTTACCCGCAACTAGTCAGATACCCAAACACTTCGCATCAGTCTGATTCCATTTAAAGAACGAAGATAATGTATTTTTTATCTTAAGATAAAATATCGCTTACCATACAGTCAAAACGCCTAAAATCATAAAGAAATAAGCATAGAGAAAAAACAGGGTACATCTGCGTGTAAGTGGAAGCGATACGGGCTACGAGAGAGATGCTGATCGATAGTTCCCTCTGTCTCTGTTCATCTAAGCTGTGATTGGCTATCGTGAAGAACCATGCCCGGTTTTAATCATAGAACAGGCGGGAGATTAGAAATTTCTCCAGCCAACCACAGAGCTCGACTAAAAAGAGACAGAGAGAATTATCTGTTATCCATATATCTCGTTGCCCATATTGCAAGATTGGGGCTCTTGTTCACTCTACGCTTATGTCTAAAATACTAAATACTACCTGGCTAAAATACTACCTATATATTTTCATATTACACTATCTTAAGCTATGAAGCGATATGGAAATTTTATGTTAAGATGGTAACTATATCCTAAATTGCTACGGTAACCTATAGATTCAGTGGAGAAATACATCATCAATGCGTACCATCTTTATGCCGATGACTTGCAACTCTATTATCAAGCCTCGACAGACGACATAAATGAGGCGATTTTTATGGTTAACCTGGAGGCTATTAGCAGTTGGGCTGCGCAGTGAATCCAGCAAAGTACCAAGCCATCATCATAGGCAGTCAGCGCATGACTGGAACGATGGATCAAGACAAACTGCCACCCATTACTTATAACGGAGTAGTCATTCCCTTCAGTCCCTCTGTTAAGGACCTAGGCTTATTTATCGAGTCCAAGCAGAGAGTCACAGGTACGCTACGGGAATTTTATAGTCTTAAAAACTTCCTTCCTCCCGAGACAAAACCGATGCTAGTATAGACCTTTATTGTCCCTATCTTGGATTAATGTGATGAATGCTATTATGACCTGAATGCAGATCGCCTCAATAAATATGACCGCCTTCTGAATAACTGCATTCGATTCGTCTTTAACCTTCGCAAATACCACCATGTTTCCTCCTCTTGTCGCGAATTGAACTGGCTCACGATTCGTCAGCACCCTTACCACCCTCTATTCTATACTCAACTCACCTATTTCCCCTTCCTACCTGACATCCTCATTTCAATTTCT